CCAGAGATGGGCTAGTAGTCATCTGGGAGTATGTGTCTCTGGCCCTTCTTGTTGGAGAAGCTACCACCCACTCAGATGGAGAAATGAGATCTCCCCTTTCCTGGTACCATTTCTACTTTATTACAACCCCCTCCTCAGGACTTTGAAGGACCCTGAAGCAGAAGGGGGATGGTTTCCTAGCCAGGGCCTTGGGGTCCCTGTGGCATTTCCATGACTCTGAACTTCACAGCTGCCAGAAGAAAAGAGAGAAGCTTGAAGGCCAGAAAGGGAGGGGGCAGGGAGGGAAAGGTGGGACCAGAGGGAAGGAGGCTGTCCATTGCACCGTCATTTACACTTCTGAAGCCATGAAAAAAAAATCAATGGGAATCCCCAGAGCCAGGCTGGGGATGGGGGTTGGGGTGGTCTAGACTTCATTACAACTGTACTACCCTTTCAGCCCCATAGAGCAAGCAAACAGGCCCTGATAATCTCACTGAGACTGGAGACTGGGGTCCTTAATCCTTGAAGTGTCCCATGCTTCCAGCTATCCCAGGAAGAGGTCTCAGATCTGAGACAATCGTGCCTATTTGGGGGCTGACTATTGTCTACTGAATTTGCTGGGGCTGAATCAGAATATGCCCAGTGCTGGAGATACAAAGAAAAAGCAAAAATACCTCCTGCCCTCAGAGAGATTACATTCTAATGGGAGATACAACAAATGTATAAACAGGCACTTCCTAGCTATGTGACCCTGGGCAAGTCACTTAACCCTGTTTGCCTTAGTTTCCTCATCTGTAAAATGAACTGGAGAAGGAAATGGCAAAACACTCCAGTATCTCTGCCAAGAAAACCCCAAATGGGGCCATGAAGAGTTGGAAATGACTAAACAATAAGTAGGAGTAATATGGAATAAGTCTGGAAATGTAGGCAGAAGAAATTAAGTGTTTTTAATACCCAACAAAGGAATTTTAATTTCTTCTAGAAGCAATAGGGAGCCACTGAAACATCTTGAACAGGGAAGTGACATGGCTGCTCACAGATTATTTTGTTAGCTGAGTAGAGGATGGACTGGAAAGAGGAGAGATTGGAAGGAAGAAGCCCAATTAGGAGGCTGTTGTAATTGTTTAGGTTAGAGCCCATAGGACCTGAAGAAGGGTAGTAGAGAGTAGGGAACAGATGGGATAGTTATGGAGGAAGAAGATTAATAACTAACTCCTGGAGCAAATTTATAGGTTGAGCCGGCAAGGCTGGGCTATGCTCTGTATTCCTGGCACTGCCAGGAACTTCCATATTGATGAGATCAGAGATCTATTTGAGTCCTGAACATCTAGGTCATACTCTGATCCTTTGGCTTTCTTTAGGGGTTTCCTGAGACCTTACATCCTCCCTCAAGGAAAAGATGAGATGGGTGTTACTGTGACTCCACTTTGTAAATGGGAGAAATGAGGTACAGAGTGATGGCAATGATGAGAATAGTGATGATAAAAGCAATGGGGAATAATGGTGCAGATGGTGGTGGTGCTGGTGACCTCCCCCTTGTCAAAAATTGGCCAGTCTTGCTCACTGTCATGCCATGGGATAATGTGCCAAAGAGTTTTCTTGCTGCCACTTTAAAGGGCCTTGGGCTGGAGAGGGTGCCAAGAGGGGGATATCCTCTGAGTACCTTGTGCCTAAGCCTGATGGATGACCAGTCCCCCCAATGCTAGGTTTCTATGGGCAGAGCTACCAATGTGACCAATGTGACCTTGAGATTGGCACAGGGGAACAGAAGACATTTGTTTGAGATTGGATAAGTATGGGACCAGACCTAGAGCAAAGAACCAGTCTGCCCCTCTGATTGGCTGGTATTCAATATTCCTTCCCTTCTCTTCCCCAGCTCGTGCCCAAACCAAGCTTTCAAAAGTCTAGATGATTGCTTCCTCTTCCAAGGTTGATCTGAAAGCATGATTTCAGTTGTTGACTAGACATGTGTGCATGGGTGGACAAACTTGGTAAGGACTAGTCTTCTCTAGGGCTCTGAGCTAATCACTGAGATGCAAGTCTTAACCTCTGGCTTCTGGGATAAGGAATCGATGAGCCCTTAGGTCATGAACAACAGCCTCAGGGCTACCTGGACCACCTAGAGGTGGAAGACATCTCCTTACCCTCTGCTGTTGGTGGTCATCCTTCATTTGCCAAGAGGACCAATGTCTTGACTTTTGAGCGAATTGGATTTAAGTGAGGCAGAATTTCACAAAGTCGTCAGCCTCTTTGTCTCTTCTAGAGTCATCTAAGTCCAGTGGCAGGACAAAGGCTGGACGACCTTCGATGTCGGGGATGCAGGGGATGACCTGGGCATACTTGAGGCCTGACTAAACTCTAAGCGCTCGGCAACATCTGCTTCACCTGCATTCATGGCCCTTGGAACAAATTGTTCTCATCCTCCTATTCCACCAGGGGAAGTCTTCACATGCTTGGGGTAGACATTCCTTTGACTAACCAAAGGTTTTCAGTCCCTTTGGTTACCCCCAGCCTGGTTTAGCCCATCTACTGAAACGATTTACTGGGGTATGGCTGCTGCCTTTGCTATGGCTTCTTGGAGCCACAGGTGACAGTTGGGTGACAGGTGGACACTGAGGATGGATGAGCAGCCCTGAAAAGGGCTCAGCAAGCCTTCATAGCAAGCCAGAGGGGCTAGTCCTCTAATGAATGAAACGAAAATGAAGTGGGGAGGGGTGACTCTCCTGTTTTCTCTGGGGCTGGCCAGTGCCAAGGAAACCTGCTGCCTCTGCTTCTCCTCCCTTGAAGGAGTTGTATGGGGAAACCAATTTCCCCTTGTTGGGATCTGGGGGTTGGAGCCAAGAAGTTGGGGCTGAGAAGGGATGGGGGCTGGGCCTTTGTGCTCTGAACAGGAGGGGCCAACATCCCGCCTGGTTTGGGGTTATAATAACACAGTGTCTTGCCAATCCTGCCGATCTCACTTTCCCGGCTCCCTGGAGGAGATCAGACACTTGATCTCACTCAACTTCAGAACCCTTTTCCCCTTCCTCATGGGCTCTCCAGGAGAAACTAGCCAAGGATCATAGTTCTATTTAACAAATGGGTTAACTGAGATCCCCAGGAACAAAATTTCTCAGTGGCCAAAGCTAGGATCTGAACTCAGAGCTCAAAGCCTTTTAAATATAAGGTTCACGGGAATGGAAGAGAGCAGGGAAGGATTTGTCTCACCAAAGGGGACTTAGAAATCTCTTTGGGTTGGGCCCTAGGCTCAACCACAGGGGAGCCTCCTGCTGCTCCCTCCCCAGGAGCGGTCCAGACCGGGACTCCCCTCTGGCCTGGATTCAATACCACCGCCCCCCCCCCACTCCCGCGCTCCCTGCCAGGAAGCAGGGCGAACACTGCCATCTACTGAACACCAGAGACCTCAGGCTCGATCCCGCTGCTTCAGGCCGTAGCCAAAGCCCGAGGGACTCCCCACCCCCCATATCCTCCAGCCCCTCGGGGCAGCGGAGGTGGCTGGTTCAAAGCCCCTTGCCTTCCAATCCTGCCCTTCCCGGTCGCTAACCACTTGGGTTGAGGAAATAAGCTAGGTAAAAGGAGGCTACTTTTTTTTTTCAAGGGTACATCCAATTCCTCCTTTTTAGAAAGGAGTGGGTGGGAAACAAGGGGGCAGAGACAGAGCTCCTCGCTCCTTCTCCCCCCTTCTCTTTGCCCATCTTCTGTCCCTCATCTCCGTCTCTTCTCATCTCCCCTCCTCTCTTCCATCTCCTTCTCTTCTCTTCTCCCCCCCCCATTCTTTCTGCTTCCAATCTTCCTTTCTCTCCCTCTCTCCCCTTCCCCCCTCCGCCTCCAGCTCACCTCCTCCCTTCTTCCCTCCTCCCCTTCTCGCCTTTCCCCCCCTCTCTCACACCTAGCCCTCAGCTTTTCACCTCTTCCCCTCCCCTGGCGGCCCGCTGCTCCTCCCCCTCCTCCCTCCTGCACCCTTCCCGGGGGAGTTTAGACCCTGGATAAACACTAGACTCAAGTATATAAATAAGGGAGACAAAGCCGAAGGGAGAGATTAGGGGCTGATTATCGCCGAACAAAAGCGGTCGCCGGGCTGGGGGACTCGGCTGGGATAGGAGGGAGAAGGGGGAGCCACCCTGTTTCGGGGCTAGGGCCGGGCCCCTAGCTCGGGGGTGGTGGGCGGGGGGGCTCGTGTGGTTTAAAATATATTTAAAAAGCAGAGGTGTGTATGTGTGTGTGTGTTTAATTAAAATTTTAAAAAGGCCTGGGCTCCCCTCCCCCGATACAGACCCGGGGGAGGGCACGACTCCGCCCCTCCCTCACCCGGCGCCTTTGTGGCGACGGCCCCCAGAGCAGCTCGGCGGTGGGTGCGCGGGGCGCGGGGCCGGGCCGGACAGGTGGAGAGGGCGGTGGAAGAGGGGGCGGGGAGCGCGGGGCCGGGGCCGGGCCGGGCCGGGTGGCTCCCCGCCCCGGGAGGTGGGGCCGGGCTGGGCCGGGCTATGCAAATTCCCGCATTGAGAGGCCAATTGCCTGCGCGCCGAGAGCCGGGCTCAGTGCGCTCGCTTTTCGCCAGCCAGCCAGGCAGCGGAGCAGCCAGGCAGCCAGGCAGGAGAGCGCCGCGGCCGGCCCCAGCCCTAGCCCCGGCCCATTCCCGGTCCGGCCCGTCTCCGATTCCGACTTCAGCCCCAGCTCCGGCCCCAGCCCTAGCCCCGGTGGGCCGCCAGCGCCCCGCCTGGGGCTGCAGCCGCCCGCCCGCCCGCGCCCAGGTGGAATGCGCCCCAGGCGCGCGGTCCAGGGGGCGCAGTCAGCCCGTCCCGGGGGAGGCGGCTCCCGTGGCCGGCCCGCCTCGTGCCGCTGTCCCTGACTCTGTCCCGCGCCCCTAGCCCGTGCCCCGCATGGATTCTTGGGGCAGCCACTGAAGCCAGCCCGGAGCGGAGCGGGCCCGAGCACTTGGGCGCCTAGCGGGCATGGCCGGGGGGGCCCGCTAGGTGCGGGGCGGGGCCTTACTGGGGGGAGGGCAGGGGGCTCGGCTGGGGGGGGGCCCTGGTGGGGAGCCCTGGCTGGGCTGAGAGGGCCGGACACCGAGCCTGGGAGCCGCCGCCGTCGCCGCCGCCTGCGCCTCGGGAAAGGTGAGTGGGGCCAGAAACGGGGGAGGCTCTTGCAGGCTCCCCAAGTGGGCAGGACTGGGGGCCCCTAATTGCGCCCCCTCCCCGCTCCAACTAGGCTGAAGTCCTTCGAGTCTGCTCCCCAATCCCCCACTGGGCTTGCATCGGGGAAAGTACTGGGCCAGGACTCCTGCCTTGGGGGGTAGGAGTAAGGAAGAGAGTACGGGGCTCAGACAGAACTGACTGGGACAGACCCGCGCGCCCAACACTCGGTGAATTGAGAAGGGCTAGACCAGGTGGGCCCCTTAGAGGGGGGCGTGACGTGATCTCTCCCCCCATTTAAACCAGAGTAGAGGTTTCGTTAACTCCTTGAGGGCCTCAAACGTAGGCTTTGGGGGTGGGGTGGAGAAGCACCTCAGTCTCTGCGTGATTGAGAGCTGAGGCAGTAACTTTCCTAAGCTGGATCTTGGGGGCAGTGGACCCTAGCGGCCCCTCCTCCACTCAGGCTGGCCCTGTGTTTGGGGAGAAGGGAGCCCAAGGGGCGGAATATTTTTCCCAGCACAGATCCCCACTTTCCCATCGGTGAAATATCCCCACCACCCCTGCCCAGGAGCTTCCAGGGGAGCTTATCAACTTCTGTGCCTCAGTTTCCTCTTCTGTGAAATGTGGTGGTAGTGGGAAAGGGAGTGGGTGGAGCAGAAAAAATGTTAGGGAAATTGGTGACCGTGGAAGGAGGAGACATTGGGTGAAACTTATGAGGGATTTACTAGGTAGTGGGAAAGGGAGGGGGGGAGATCTGGTCAGGAAAAAAGTGTTGGGGAAATTGATGACAGTGGAAGAGGAGGGACATTGGGTGAAAACTTACTAAGGCTTTTGGCCCAGCATTCCTTGAGACCTCCCTGGCAATCCAGTCCCTTTCTCCTTTTTCGACCTGACTGGGGAAAGAGAAGGGACCTAGTTTGAGCATCAGGAAAAGGTGGTAGTGGGAGGGGGGAGGAGCTGTAAAACACCTTGTCTCCATTTCCTCTCACACCCCTCCCCCGACTTAATTTAGAAAGAAGGGGGAGCTAAGCACTATGATGGTGTGTGTATGTTGGGGGTGGGGGGGGTGGAATGATGGGAGAATCCCTTCTCTGCTGTACCACCAACAGACTTCCTGAACATATCTGCCAATTTTGCTCCCACATCTGCCTGTTTGTTGTTTCTGTGACTGTTATTAGTGGGAGACCCTAGGGCTGGGGAGACCAAGGCTATTTGTATCAATGGGAGAGGGGGTGCTAAGTGGGGAAATAATTCAGATATGGAGGGAGTGGGGCTATCATAATCCAGACCTTCAGGGAAGAGGCTGAATAAGGAGTGGGGTGGTGGCAGAATCTCTGGGAAGAGGACCCAGGAGTCATTGCTGCCACATATCAGCTTGAGGCCCAGTCTGTGAAATGGGAAGAGGAAAATACTGTGGCTAGGACTCAAAAGTCAAGGTCCATGGTCTGATGAAGGAAGATGGGAAGATGGAACGAAGGAGCAAAAAGAGACAGCCAGACAGCCAGACAACCCAACAGACTTGGGTCCTATCAGTCAGAGAGAGGGAAGAAAAGGGGAGGGCTACAGAAGGAGCGGGCCGGCTGGGTAAATAACACTTAATTCTTCAAATAGCTGCACTGCTGGCCAATTAACTCCTTCATAACTCCATCTCCATACTGCTTGCCTACATCATGCCCACATGCAGAGGGAGAAATGGTTGCCAGAGGGAGGATGGGTAAAACTGAAGGAACTCAGACATGTTGGACCTCCAGACTCATCTCTGTTAGACTCCAGAAACTTGGAAGGGCCAGAGATATCCTTGGACCTGGTACAGGGGGCAGGAGCTGAAAGCAAGTGAAATTAGCTGATCTCAGAGGTCCCTTCCAACTCTGAAATGTGAGGGTTGTCTGAGCAGCTGCTCCCTCATAGAATTGAGAGCTGAAAGGGACCTTGAGCTCATCTAGTCTAAAGTCCCTATTTTATAGATTTAGGAAACTGAGGTTAAAAAAAAAGATAAATTGCCTATAGACATGTAGGAAATCGTTGAGTAGGCATATGAGCCTTCTGATTCCAAAACCAACTCTTTTCTGCTGTGCCATACTGATTTCTTTTCTGGGTGGGGCCAGGGCAGACTAGACTAGGGTTTGGTTGTGGGATTTTTTTGGGGGGGGGGTAAGACTTGGGGAAAAATGCTAAGCCTTCAATAATGGCAATTAGCTATGAGTATAGAAATTGCCCTCTAGCACATTCAGAGGAAAAGCTAGCCTAAAGAAATAATGGCTGTTTCTTCCCATGTTACAGATGGGAAAACTGAGGCTTAAAGAAGGTGGTAGTGTCTCACTGAGCAGATGCAGAGACCCAGCTTTCTTGTTAGTTTCTGGAATTTGAGGAAGGGGTTAATGAGGAAGAGCCTGGGTTGGTGGGAGACCCTGCCCTGTGACAGAAATGGGGGGGGCAGTAGGGTTTCTAGTGTCCAGCCATTTAACCTGGGAATGTTGGCATTAATTTAGGGGAGCATAGATGGAGACTGAAGGCAATTCTGAGGTTCCATTCCCATTGCTGGGAAGGAATGTTCCGTGGAGGGATGGAGACCAGGAAGGCACATGAAATTGTCTCTTCCCCAGTACTTCACAGGCTACAATTCCTTTGCAGATGTAGGAATGTGTCCCTAGGGCTGGGGGAGGCTGGGCAGGGCCTCTGTAAGACTGAAGTGGATCTGCAGGAGGGGGCCTGCCTAGGCTTAGGGAGACCCTGCCCTGTATGGGGTGGGTGGGTGGAGAGAGTTGGGATTTCAGGTATGAAGTCTAGGCTGCAGATTCTGAAGAAGGTAGGAGTGGGCAGGATGGGGGTACAGGGTACTGGAAGAATTGGGAGCAAAATGGGAGATGGAGAGTTCGAAAAGGGGGAGAATTCCCTGGGTAGCTGGGCAGTACTCTTTGGAGAGATCAAGATTCTTGGGTCCCCATTAACATAGTTGGCCTCTTGGTGGTGGGGGAGGGTGTTGGGATTAGGGATGCCTGGATTTTGTCCTTTTCTCCCACCCTCTGTCTCAGCCAAAAAAACTTCTCTAAGGATTCAATCTTAGGCTTCCAGTTCAGCAACACTGGGTTATCATCGGTGAGGTATGGTGGGGTGGGGTGAAAGAACAGCCTGGCACCCAGTGATGGTTCGTGATTTTCTGAGTTTATGCCGGTCTGTCTTCTCAAAGAACCTTCTCCAGCTGGACAGGGCATTTCTTGGGTTGGCAGTGCCCTGGTAAAGCTGGGCCTTTCCTTCCATTAACCTTGTGCCCCCAAACACACACCTGAGAAGGCGGGAGCAGCAGTGGCTGCTCCAGGAACTGGCTGGGCCAGCCTGTCCTGTTGAGTCCCGTCCTTGGCCTCTATGTGTGCCTGGCTAGATTCCGCCTCCTCCTCCTCGGCTTAGCCCCCCTTTCCCCTCTGCCCCCCTCTCCCCCAGCTCTTCAGTTCTCTTTTTCTTTGTTTGCTTCCCTCCCCTCCCTCCTTCCCTCACCCGCTCGCTCGCTCACCCACTCTAGCTAGCTAGCGGGCTCAGGCGGGCTCCCAGGCGGTGGCGGCAGGAGCAGAGGGAGCATCCTTGGCCCTAACTCACCCGATTGGATTGGTTTGGGGGAACCCTGATGGGTCCAGAGGGAAAAGGGGGGTCCTTGGAGCAGGGGCAGGCATGGGTCTGGGCCTGGTCTGGTCCAAGGGGGTGGAGATGGAAGTAGGAGACAAGAGGGACAGCAGACAATGCCTCCTTCTTCTTCCTCTTTCCCTTCTTCCTCTCTTTCTCTCTCCCCTACCTCCACCCAGGCTGGTGGGGGCTGGGCAGCAGGCTGTTCAGTGCAGTGGGTGGGGGAGTAGGGGTGTCCCTGTCAGGATTGCTGAGGGCCCCTGGCTTCAGCCCCAGGATAAAATGCAGCTTCATCAACTTGTCTCAATTTGACAGGTTAAAGAAACACACAGAATCCCTGCTCTGGAACGGGTGGCCCCTTCCCACCTCCCTCCACCCTGCTTAAAGGGACAGAGCTACTTAGGAATATGTGTATTAAGGGGTGGGGTGGGGGTAGGGCAGGAGGGTGGTAGTACCCTCCTCTTCCCAGGTCTTCCTTCCTCTCTTCTGCTCTGATCTTTCCAAAAATCTCTATTTACTTTAACCCTTTCCCTCCCCTGCTGAGAGACAGCTTACAGTCATGGAAACTGAGGTATATAGGCTCTGTGGCCAGTTAGGAAGTCAGTGACCCATCTCACTTCCAATTCCTGGTGGACTATGTTTCCCTCCCTCTCCTCTGCCCAGCTCTGGAAAGGGCCTGAGCTTCCTGATCTTATGCCCCTGCAGATATTGTTGGGGGGCAGGAAGAGGGAGCTTGATAAACCAGGGATCTTGGAACATTTTTTTTAGTGGAGTTTGAGGATTCTCAACCCTGCCCACTAACTTGATGCCTAAATTTAAGCTGATCCTGTCTTGTCTCTGGGCCTTGAGTTCTTCACCTGTAAAACCAAGGGCTAAAGCTTCATAGTTTTCTTCCAGCTATGATATTCTGAGTCTTCCATATCTAAGAGGCAGGAGCCCAGGGTCCGGGGTTCCTGTTGTTCCTTCTTGCCTCCCCTCTGCCACAAGGACAGACCCACTAACCCAGGTTAGCATCACTAGCCTTGACAGTTCAGTGCCTGAAGCGTTTTGCTGGATTTGGAGTCTGAAGGCTTGCATACAGATCTAAGCTTTGCTGCTCCTTATCCTTGTGATTACAACTGAGTCACTACCTTTTGGGGCCTTGGTTTCCACATCTGTAAAATGAGGAGGTTGGCCTGGATGGCCAATACGAGGCTCCCGTCTAGCCTGAAATAGATGATCCTTAACAGTTCGATTTCGCCAACCTCTCTTTTTACAAAGGAGTTAACCGACGCTCAGAGAGAAGTGATTTGCCCAGGGTCACCCAGAGCTGATGAGTGGCAGATCCCAGGTCTCCAAACCCCAGTGCCGATGCCCTTAGAACAGAATAAAGAGCTCTTAATGATCAGTTACTCTAACCCCCTTGTTTGTTTTCTTAGCCAGAATTGAGGAATTTGTAGAATGCCTCACATCGCATTAATTTAATTAATTAAAAGGCTGTGTTTCAATGACACACCATCAGAAACTTCATTACCAAAGCTGAATGGAGGGGAGGAGTAGAAGCCAGATTATTAACCCTCTTGTTTTACTAGATAAGGTAATTAAGGTCCAAAGACGGGAAAGGACTTAGTCAAAGTCACACAGTCTTAAGCAGGCACTTTGGCAGCCTAATCCTGAATTAAGATTCCCTGGCAAGAGGAAGGCCCAGACTCAGTACTGCGTTCTTGGGTGTGAAGATGGGTGTGCACATGTGACCTAGGGTGTTGGAGACTGTACCAACATAGGCCATGTCCATCTGCTTGCCCCAAACCCCACCTCCACTCTTGAGTTCCCTAGACCCTCCTAGTCCTCAGCCCTTCACTCACCAATTCAGTAGGTGGCCCTTAAGTCTAAGTGAAGATAGGGACAGACACAGATGCAGGAGGCAGAGGCCTGCCTCCCTGATGCCTCATTCGTTTAACAGCTGGGCAGAGACTTGGCCTAGCTAGGGTAGTGGAGAGAGCACACTATGTAGAATCAGAAAGTCTGGGTTCAAATCCCCTATCCCTGCTGTTCTTTACCTATTTGACCCTGAGCAGGTCCCTTCCTATTTCTGGGCCTCAGTTTCCTCATCTGTAAAATGAGGAGCTTGGACTAATGGTCTTGAAGAGCTCTTGTGGCTCTAAATTGTCTTGATATATTTCCCTTCAGTCACCCAAAGGGTCAGGTTCTAATTCCCTGGAGTCCAGCCAGGAGAATGTAGGGCTGAGCAGGCTCCAGTCCTGGGGGGTGGGGAGGTTGGATTTCCATGCCAAGTACCCCCTCCCCATAGAGGGAGGGAGTTGGCACCACTGCCTCTGCCAATCGGCACAGTCTGGTTAGGAAGCAGTCTGCTTGGACACCTGGTGTGGGCGGCGTTCCCCAAACAGCCAGCCTGCTGGGGAGACAATATTTGAAAAACACAGATCTGAAGTGGGGCTGGTTTGGGGAGTGGAGGAGATGAGTTGGGGGGTGAAAGTTGTGCTGGGGCACTGGCTGGGATGGCTCTGGGCAAAGAGCAGGTGCTCTATGGGAAGTGGGAGCCTGTCTCTTGGCCCCTTCTCCGGCCTTCAGCCCATCTTCCTCCTCATTGTGCCCAGAGAATCTGACCTCACCCGGAAGTTCTCCTTTGCCTCAGATCTGCATTTCTCTTGCTGCAGTTGCGGGCGATTCCTCCATTTGCAGGCTCAGAATTCTTCCTGCATTGGAGGCTTCTTCTGCTCCCCTTTCTAACCCTTCTTCTATTTCACTGGGTATCTTTGTCAGTCTGTCTCTCTCTGTGTCTTCCCTCACCCCTACCTATTCCTTGTCTCTCTCCTTTCCTCCCGCCTCTCCATTCCCCCCCCCAACTCCCTTCAATAATCAAATCCAGGTTTTTTCAGTTGGGAGGAGATGGCTTGGCTGAGGTGGCTGAGAATGGCCCCATCTCTCTTCCTTTCCTTTCCTGGCTGGAAGGGGAACAGCCCCTTTTGTCAAGGGGAGGGGAGGGGGACCCTCCTGATTCCTTTGGTCTGATAAGAATGGTTTGGGCTTCCTTAACAAAGGGCCAGACCCTCCTTTTATTTGGAAGTGGGGAAGATAGGGAGAATGGGGGACCTTTTGGGAGACTCAGACCCTAGATCCTTAGCCCTGGACTAGGTTTGCCGGGGCCAGGATAAGTAAACAGGTGGGAGGTGGGGTGGGGAGTGTTGGAGATATTGACAACAAGGCCTCTTTGTCCAGACGGTATAGACTAAGACAACCCTAGTGATCAAAGCTCTCCCTACTTAAACCTTTGGTGAGATTGTTCTTTTGGTCCCGGTGGTGGTGGTGGTGGTGGTGGTGGTAGAACCTCTGTATGTCACTCATGTGGGAGTTGTCCATCCATCCTGACTTAGATTCTGTCTCCAGGTATCCCAAGGGCCACGTTTGCCTCCCTCACCCTCAGATGTACCCCATCATGCCCGCCACTGTCCTCCTCTTCTGGGCCTCCCTGCTGACTGGGGCCTGGCCTGCTGCCCTTACCAAGGACTACCTCTTTGCCACCCCCAGGGTCCAGCTCTCCTTCAAAGGTAAGAGATGGTTCTCAATCATCCATACCTGCAGATTTGCCAGTTTAGGAATCTTCTTTGGTCAGAATAGAATCCCAGGCTTCCCCTTCATCTGTACAAGCCTTGGCAAGGCAGACCCAACCTCATCTTTGTTTGAGCCAGACTAAGTGAGGCAGGAAGGATAATCGTGTTATGGAACCAAAATGGAGCGACGTTTGGGTTCTCTGCTAGCGATGTGGGGGCTTGGGATTTCCCATGGCACTGTCCCCAGTCCATGGACATGGAGGATTAAGAAGTGATGGGGTCAGTCTGGGCCCCCTGAGAGCCAGTCTAGGGAGAAGAATGCCTCTCCCAGGTCCCCGGACACAATGGGCTTGACAGGTCAGCATTGTGGTGGTGGTGGTGGTGGTGGTGGTGGCGGTGGCGGTGGGCTTACCTCGCCCGTCCTCCCCTCCCAGTGATTCTTGGGTTTCTCGTTTGTCTTTAGGAGGATAGTATTGGAGAGCAGTCAGGGAGCCCATCGGCCACTCAGTAGGCATGAGCAGAGGCCCCTTGTTGTTCAGCCTTGTTCTCCAATCCATTCTATGGGGATGGGGCTCGAGGAGGCAGAGAAGGGGCAGGTGGAGGCTCAGCCTTCAGAGAGCTCACAGTCTGGGATGGGGAGGCAGAACCTGAACCCAGGGCACAGAGAACCAATGACAACAGGCAGCTGGGATAGTAGGTGGAATTGGGCTGGGAGTGAGGGGGCATGTTTCAGTCCCTACTCTGCTACTAACTTCCTGTATGACTTGGGATTGGTCACTTTCCCTCCTCTGGGGTCTAGTCTTCCTCTCTGTAGGCTCTTCTAGATTTCTATGATTCCATGGCTTTGCTAATGGCTAGGTGTGTGATTAAGATTTAAAGGGCCATGGGAGGGAAGGGGGAGAGGTCAAAAGTGAGCTGGAGCAATCAGGGGAGCCTTCCTAGGGGGTGGGATTGGATTGGATTCCTACCCACTGGGACCTGGTAGGAATTGTGGGCCGTGAAAATCACTGGGGTAAGTATGTGCTTGTACCGGCTGGCTTTATTAGACTTTCTAAGCTTCCCTGGAGATCCAGATGTCAGGGCATTTCTCCCCTTCCAGGGACATTTGTGTGCACTTGGTATCTATGGACCTGAGACTCCCAGGGCTGGGAAGGATGTGGTCACCCCAACAGAGACAGGGGCCTGTGTGCTCCAGCTAATGTAGCTGGGCCCAGTGAGCTGTGGGCCCCAGGACTAGTCCTTTATCTGCTTACCTCCCCGAAGCTCTTTAGGGTCTGAGATTCCTGGAGGGCTCAGGCTGAGTCCCCTCTGGACAGGACCATTTCCAGGTTTCCCTTGAGCTGGTATTTTCAACAGATCAGGGAAGTGAGCTGTCTTTAATCAGCTTTTCTGCCTCGATAACTTTTGTGTGGAGTCTCTTTCCCTCTGGTGAGGCTCAGCAGGGGTGGGTAGGGGGCAGGGGCCAGGAGCCAGGGAAACTGCTGAGCTGTGGGGTTTGAGAAATGGGAGGAGGAAGAGTTAATCACTTAGGACTGTGAAATCCCCTCAACTCCCCCGCCTCCTCAATGGCCAGCCCAGGCCCCAAAAGGTGAGAGATTTATTCTGCTGACACCTCCACCCGGCCCTGTCAGCCCCACTTTTATACAGCAGCTGATTAATAAATCGGAGGGATGCCGGCCGGCCGCCCCCTCTCTTCCTTTTCCCTTCTGCCTACATAGCCAGCCCTTAGCTCTGGAAGACCACTCATTCTTCTCTTTCTCCCTGCCCCTTCGCTGTGAAGCTTAGCATAGTGTTCAATGCCCTGGGCTGCTGCCTGCACGATGTAAATGCTTCTCAGGCTGGTGTTGTTCCATGAGAGAATGGCCTGTTCGTTTCCTGGAGGACATGCTGGAAAGAGCCCTGGATTTAGAAGCAGAACGCTTGACAAGCCATGCAACTGAGAGCAAAACCGTTCACCTCTGGGCCTCAGTTTCCTTATTTGTAAAAGGGGGAGTGGGGTGGGGAAAATGATTATATCTATGCTACCAGCCTTGCATGCTGGTTGTCAGAAGTTCACTCTGTAGACTGCAAAGTGTTATCAAAATGGGAATTTTTGTCTGCATCTCAGGGGCATAAGTCAGGGTAGGCCTAAAGGGATGGGCTCCGAAATCTGTGGCTTCAACTGAGGTAGAGAAGGGGAAGGGAACAAGCATTTATTAAGCACCTGCTGTGTGTCAGCCATCGTTCTAAGTGTTTTGCAAATATGATCAACAACGCTGTGAGACAGGTGCTATTATTTTCCCCACGTTACAGTTGAGGAAACAGAGGCAGATAGTGGGTAAGTGCCTTGCCTGATCTGCCCCCCACTAACCAAATCAGCACCTCAGAAGAGAGGAAGCTGTTTGGCTGCCCTGCCTATATGTTGAAAGGTCTGGAGATTCACCTCCCTCAAAAGAGCCCTTGAAGGGGAGGGGAGCCCAGGCTCTCAGGGCCAGCTCTCCTCATCAGAGAGTCATTTTGGTCCTATCTTGGGATCCTTGCCCCCTGGTCTTATGCTACTATCCTCTGGTTGAAAGGAAATTCAGCCTCGACTCTGGCCACAGATGAGATAATAGATGTGAGCATCTGGACCCACGGCATTTTACATGCTGAAGCAGGGGGCTCAGATCTACTTCACAGAGGGGAAACTGAGGCACAGGGAGGGAAATGAACGATTTGTTCCAAGGGAAAGCTGGCATCAAAGCTAGGAATAGAAGTCAGGCAGGCATCCTGCAGCTAGGTGGGGCAGTGGACAGAGTGCTGGGCCTACAGTCAGAAAGATATGAGTTCAAATCCTGCTTCAGATACTTCCTAGCTGTATGATCCTAAACAAGTCACTTAACCTCTATTTGCCTCAGTTTCCTCAACTGTAAAATGGGGAGAATAACTGCATCTATTTTACAGGGTTGTTGTGAGGATCAAATGAGATATTTATGAAGCGCTCATCTCAATGCCTGGCACATAAGTGCTTTATCAGTGTGTATTCCCTTCCCTTCCTCTCTGCCCACAATGCCCTAAAGGATGTCATGTTCTTGGCTTACCCATGTCAGGTTAGTGCCTTTGGGGCCTAGAAGTTCAGGGATATTTCATCTAGAAATGGGGATAGGGCAGGTCCTAACTCAGACCTAGGGGAAAGGAAGCTACACCCCAGATCTAATCCCATGAAAGTTTAAGAGAAGGCAGCGGACAGCCTAGAGCCAGACCTGGTTGGGAGGAAAGGGCAGGAGGACTCCTTGAACCCATGCCTCTCCCTTCTTTTCCTCCCTAACACGAGGTTAAGAAGGGCAGTGATGTCCCCATGTCCAGGAAATATGACCTAAGGCCTTTAGACCTCTGGTGACTTGCCCAGAACAACCCATCCAAATAGCAGTCTGGGCACTTGATCTCCTGAGTTCCCTGCAAAGGAGAAAACATTCTAGGATTTTAATTTTTAAAAGGACTGGACTTGGGATCAGGGGATGTCAGTCCAGGTCCCCAGCTCTGCCTCGATCTTTTTTTTTTCTTATCTTTTTATATCATCAGACAAGCAGGTCATGCTAGGCCTCAGGAAAATGAGAGAATTGGTCCAGATAACCTCAAAGGGTTCCTCTGGTTCTGTTTGAATTGCTCAGAAATTTGCTGTTCCCTAATGGTGAGGGGCATCCCCAGGCAAACCCAGAGGTGTCCTCCTGTGGTCAGGGAAAGTTGGGGAGTTAAGTATGGGGTGGAAACTGGGGAGCTGATATAGAGGTGAGAGGGATGGCCTGGCTCTGAGCTCTGAGACCAAGTTTCCGTCTCTGGCGGAACACTCTATAACAGGAGATGATGGAGTAAGGGGCCAACTCAGTCTGGCCCTGATAAGGAGGGAACAGAGCAGTGTCGCCGAGGGGCGTTAGATAAAAAACAAAGGCAGGAACCTGAACTGAGACCGAGCTGAGGCAACTCTCCCTCTCCATTCTGTGGGGACTTGGCCAGGGGCTCCTGTGCCAGGGAAAAAACAGGGAAAAGGGATGGAGCCTCACCCTCACTCTCACCCTGGTGGAACACTCAATTTGTGGGAGGAGCTAGGAGGGTAGAATGCAAAGGACCCTGCCCTCAGTGAGCCAAGAGCCAGAAGCAGAAGGGGGGGTGGCCCACACCCTCAAGGAGCCCCTTGGTATGAGGGGAAAGGCAGCTCACAAGAGGAAAGAAGAAAATTATTAGTGAATAGAAAGCAACAGGTGGCTTCTGTTTCTCCATGTGCAAAATAGAATAGTCCTTCCTAACTTTGAAATGGGGGGATTCTGTAGGTGTGCAAAGGGTTAATTGCTATCTAGGCAGAAGGTGGGAGGAGGGGGGAAGTATAGTAGTGGGCTTCCTTGAAAGAAGTGAATTTTGAGCAGGATTTAAGAATCTTTGCAAATCATTTCCCCAAATCTTGATTCCCTTGGTATACCTCCTTTCCCAATTTAATTTATTTTTATTTATTTCATGAAGTATTTCCCAATGGTATGTAAAACAATCTTTAACATTAATTTTTAAAAAAAATGTTCACAATTTAATTTAATGAGCATTTATTACAATATATTCAAGACCCCAAACAATATTGGGGATAATATAAAGGTAGATTCAATAGAGTCTTGTCCTGAAGAAGCTTATCCCCCAACTTGAGGGATATATGGAAGAATAAACCTGCCAAGAGAGCTGACCATCACTTCCCTGCGTCAGGGGCACTCTGATGCCTTTACCATCAAATGCAAACTTTTCTGTTTGCATTTCGAGCCTTCTGTCTCATTACTCCCTTCATACTCTCCCAAGGTCCTGACCCACTGACTCCCTGTCCATCATTCAGTATATTCCATCTCCTGGCTCAGAGGCTTTGTATAGGCCCTCACTCATGTCTGGAATGCACTGTCTCCTCATCTCTACCTCTTAGAAATAATTCCTAGTTTTCTTCCAATCTCAGCTCAGGCCATGCTTCCTCCCTGGGCCCTTTCCTGATCCCTGTTCCTCAAACAGCT